CAGGAGTACCATGGAGCAGGCCCCAAATGTATACTCCCCCTCCGGTGAGATGCCATCGTCTAATGATCTCCGGTGGAACGTTGCAGTGGTACGCATGTGCGAGTGGTAAAAATGACGGCCAAACATGTATACAGTTTAGATGTTATGCTGGCAGAGGTAAATTACACCGCACATGCGCACGAAAAAACAGATATGGGCGCCATGTATGCGCAATGACTCTGGCAAGGACAACATCAGCAGACGTCCGCCATGATAGCGGCGCATGCGTACCGAACCCTCCATGCTCCACAACAGGCAAAGGATGGCCAATCCACCCAGCTAACTGAGAAAACCAAGTTTCCATCCTTGATAGTTGAGTGCACAGGGGGGGAGGGCCCCTTGAAGAAAATAGAAGTTGGAACAGCACCAAAAAGGTGTATCAAGGCCCACGTGACGACACTGCACCACCCAGGGAGATACTAACCAGCGACTTCCCAACCCCGCACAACCAGACAACCAAAAGTGAGTGAACCACACCCCCTGAATAAAAAAGAGGGGAAGGGGGGAAAAAAAAGAGAAAAACATGTAAAAAACAGACCATCATATCTACATCAGTAACCATTAAAGAAAAGACTTGTACAAGAGCATCTCGTAAAGGCCTGGCTTTATATTTGCTGCAAGCCTTTCTATCCAAAATGTTTGTTTCTTTTTGGAGAACCGACCTGTCCTAGTCTCCTCATCCTGGGTCCCTCTCTTTACCCTATCTAGGTCCATGAACGGCATATATGATAGGTCAAAATTGTTCTTCATACCTATGTAATAACTAATGGGGGTCATCATTTTAGCATTTGTTGTATAGCAAATGTGATCATTAATACGTTGGCAAAAGTGTCAGATGGTTTTGTCCACAGAGTAGGCCCCGCAACAACAAAGCATGAGATATACTACCCCATAGTATCACATGTACTATGATGTTTAGGAACAAAAGTAAAGGTATACAATGATTTTAAGCATGAATGCATACATTATTTGCCAAAGAAGCTAATTTTAGTGATAGCAGTAAAGTGTGGCTGTTCGACAATGGGCAAAGTTGGAGTGGTGTGAGTGGGTTTGGGGAAGGAAGTACAGGCACAGCTCTCTCTATTCTCTCACTATACAAGCTACAACACACTGACACTATGGTTGTTCTCAATTCCCCTATGTTAGTTAAAGTGAGATGAGTTAGTCAGCTCCCACATTCTATTAGTTATTCTGAAGTTCTAGCCAAGGTCAAAGACCACGAATTTGCTCAAAATTTGAAGATCTAATTTGAAATATGGAAATTCACTGCAGATTCACATTTGATACAAATCCAAATCTCATTTCTAGCCCCTAGTGATAAGAGTCAAGGGTGTGACACAGCCCGTTTTGCCTTTGCATATTGTCAAAAATGTATTTGGGGTAAAATAGGCCTTTAATTTACTGTAAAAATTGTGTTTGCCATGGCAAGGTCCAAAGAAGAAAGAATCCTCAGGCCCGATGGTGCAATGGGAACTTCCTCTTTTCTCCTTTGCTTTGAAGAAGGTGGTCAAAAACAGTTTGAGAGTGAAAGTCACTAGGTTGAATAGTGGCTCTCCTGTAAATAGTTTTCCACAGATTCTCCTCCTTTTTACACAATATCTTGCTTTTGCTTTAAACCAGAGTTTTTCTTTAAAGGTATTTTCTATGATACCTGAAGATTTGCTTATGCCACTTTTGACCCTCCTGATATTTAATGATGAATTCCAGGTATGGATACTTTTTACATAGTTACAGTGGGGCAAAAAAGTATTTAGTCAGCCACCAATTGTGCAAGTTCTCCCACTTAAAAAGATGAGAGAGGCCTGTAATTGGCATCATAGGTAGACCTCAACTATGAGAGACAAAATGAGAAAAAAAAATCCAGACAATCACATTGGCTGATTTGGAAAGAATTTATTTGCAAATTATGGTGGAAAATAAGTATTTGGTCACCTACAAACAAGCAAGATTTCTGGCTCTCACAGACCTGCACCTTCTTCTTTAAGAGGCTCCTCTGTCCTGCACTCATTACCTGTATCAATGGCACCTGTTTAAACTTGTTATCAGTATAAAAGACACCTGTCCACAACCTCAAACAGTCACACTCCAAACTCCACTATGGTGAAGACCAAAGAGCTGTCGAAGGACACCAGAAACAAAATTGTAGACCTGCACCAGGCTGGGAAGACTGAATCTGCAAAAGGGCAAGCAGCTTGGTGTGAACAAATCAACTGTGGGAGCAATAAGTAGAAAATGGAAGACATACAAGACCACTGATAATCTCCCTCGATCTGGGGCTCCACGCAAGATCTCACCCCGGTGGGGTCAAAATGATCACAAGAACGGTGAGAAAAATCCCAGGACCACACGGGGGGACCTAGTGAATGACCTGCAGAGAGCTGGGGCCAACGTAACAAAGGCTACCATTATTATTATTATTATTACTACGAGTTTATATAGCGCCAAAGGGTTTGCTCAGCGCTGTACAATAGGGGGGACAATACATGGCACACTGTAACACACTGCCCGCCAGTAACACACACTGCCCGCCAGGGACTCAGATCCTGCAGTGCCAGACTTGTCCCCCTGCTTAAGCCAGTACATGTCCGGGCCCGTCTGAAGTTGGCTAGAGAGCATTTGGATGATCCAGAAGAGGATTGGGAGAATGTCATATGGTCAGATGAAACCAAAATAGAACTGTTTGGTAGAAACACAACTCGTCGTGTTTGGAGGAGAGAGAATGCTGAGTTACATCCAAAGAACACCATACCTACTGTGAAGCATGGGGGTGGCAACATCATGTTTTGGGGCTGTTTCTCCGCAAAGGGTCCATAACGACTGATCCATGTACAGGACAGAATGAATGGGGCCATGTATCATGAGATTTTGAGTGCAAACCTCCTTCCATCAGCAAGGGCATTGAAGATGAAACATGGCTGGGTCTTCCAACATGACAATGATCCCAAACATACCGCCCGGCAACGAAGGAGTGGCTTCGTAAGAAGCATTTCAAGGTCCTGGAGTGGTCTAGCCAGTCTCCAGATCTCAACCCCATAGAAAACCTTTGGAGGGAGTTGAAAGTCCGTGTTGCCCAGCGACAGCCCCAAAACATCACTGCTCTAGAGGAGATCTGCATGGAGGAATGGGCCAACATACCAGCAACAGTGTGTGCCAACCTTGTGGAGACTTACAGGAAATGTCTGACCTCTGTCATTGCCAACAAAGGATATATAACAAAGTATTGAGATGAACTTTTGATATTGACCAAATACTTATTTTCCACCATAATTTGCAAATAAATTCTTTCCAAATCAGCCAATGTGATTGTCTGGATTTTTTTTCTCATTTTGTCTCTCATAGTTGAGGTCTACCTATGATGCCAATTACAGGCCTCTCTCATCTTATTAAGTGGGAGAACTTGCACAATTGGTGGCTGACTAAATATTTTTTTGCCCCACTGTACATTGGTGCTCCTTGTAGCACTCTCCTAGTTTGGCTGCTAGCTAGACTAGGTAAATGTAGTTCTTTTAGCTCTACTGTAATCAGCTGAGCAGCTTGTGATTATTTTGGCCTGTTCTGTGTCTTATTGGTTGCAGATTTGACTGCTTCACCCTACCTTCTAGACGGTTCTGGAATGTAGTAGGCTGGGAGAGTCAAATAGGCAGCCTGAATATTTTTGTGGTCCCAGACCATTTTTGGAGCAAAGGGATTGTTGTCCAGGAGGGAAAGATTCCAGCCTGAAGGAATGATGCCCTTCTGGGCACTTCAGCTGTGCTTCTTAATTTGCTCATCAAGGTCCCAGCTGCATTAGCTGGGGGGAGCTTATTCTGCTGAACTTTGCTGGAGCTGATCAAGAGATTTCTTTTGGGAATCTGGTCTGATAAAGCATCAAAAAAAGGATACTTCTAGGCTAGTCATTGAGCTGGAAGAGTGACTGAGACTGTGTGCCTGGCTGCTAGCACCCTAACTCAGGAAAGAACTTTGGGACCAAATCAGCTGGCCCTTTAGGGGGTAAATGCTACATATGAACATAACATACCTGGCCAATGACCCTGGAAGCTGGAAATCAAAGAAGTAGACACTGCTACTCCAGAGATCTCCACTAGTTTCTAGGTCTTGTGCTGAGCAGCTGGCCTGCTGCAATATGACCATAGGAGGTTGGATGCTTGGCAAGGGCACCATTCAGAGAATGATTTGCATTTTCTGATTGAATGCAAAGCATTCTATGATTGGACAAGGTAGAGAGGCAGGGCAGTGGCATTGCGCTCTCCACTAAGGGACCCGAAATAAATTGGTGTAGCGGTGTTTGATAATGGTATGATAGTAGATTTCAGGAAATATACGTAAATTGATAAAAGCCAATGCAATACTACCCCCTTAGGAGTCACTGAAGATTTGGGTCCCTCTATACTACTGCACAGCCAGGCAACACACATTTCCTTCAGACCTTGTACACAGACATTAAACAGTCATTGAGCTTGTTTTTTTTTATTACGGGGTACTAAACTTGAATGGGGTTGAGGGGTGTACGGGATTGCCCAGGGGAACTGTAAACTGAGGACAAACTCCTTAGCAACTAAGTACAAGTCCATCATACAAAAATCCTCTTCTGTGATCTCTCCAGCCCTCCTGGTGTACCACCTCAGACCCCAGATGAAATTTCCTTTTCACCCAGCTACCTGAGGGAATCCCTGGACAAGGGGACCCAGAATCTGCCACTTTAAGTTCACAGTCCCAGATGGTGGCTAGTCTGGTATCCCACCAGAATGCCCTCTCCCTTTATCCGGCCCAGGGGTGTGGGGATAATCACTCAGTCCTCTCCTGTAAGCTTGTGCACTGTCCTACCATAATTTTACATATATGTATTTGCATGGTTCTGCTCTTATAATTGTGTTTTTCCCTTTGCAGAGCTGAGAGAAGCATTTAAAGAGTTTGATCGGGATAAGGATGGATTCATTGGCTACAAGGAGCTGGGAGAGTGTATGAGGACCATGGGTTACATGCCTACTGAAATGGAACTTATTGAACTCTCACAAAAAATCAGTTAGTGTTCACGTGTGTGTGTGTAACTCTAACAAATAAGAGCATTCTACAGTAACATTATTGGTATAATAGGAAAAGGACACATACCTTTTGGAATACTGATCAGTCCAATGCAATTAAATTTAAATTGCCAAAACTGTGTTTTCCTGAGCTACATTTTTCTTTACAAATGGTTTGACTTTCAGCTAAGCGTTGAATTATGTGGTCCATTTTGACATACTATTGTTACTTTGTCTTTATTCTTTTTCATTCATCTGCAAAATATAGGGGTGAGCTTTAATGGCATGCATCAGTGAAAAGCAGGCTTATACATTTTTTTTATTTTTAAATAAACTGTGTTACCATTTAAGCCCCTATTAATTATTAGTTAACCCTAATCTGCCCTAACTCCCCTTAGCTATTTTTGTCTGCAATTTGTTTCTATTTTTTTACATTTTTAAAATTTTAACTTTTGAAAAAAATCGAAACAAATTATAACATAAAACATAAGTAGAAAATATGTTCGTGTTTTTAAATTTTTTTGTTTACACATTAGCTTGAAAATAAAATACTTTTTGCAGGAAAATATCACCAAAAGAATGGCTTGTTTTGTCCTAAATAAAAAAAAAAAAAAAATATATATATATATATATATGTATTACCTTGTCATTTAAAAGAAATAAGAAAGGCTACCTACTAAGTAAGCTTTAAACTTTGCCTGCTACCTTTTTTTTTAATCTATTTCCCAGCAGTCACATTGGCTGACAGCTCCGGGTCTTGGGGGGCTGTGGCAGCTGGTGGGAGGGAACTATGACTATGACCAGAGCATTGATGCCAGTGGGATGATATCACTTCTCTGGAAATTTCTCACTGTTGTTGGCTCTTGCAGCAGCTATACAAGACCTGGAGCTGTGAGGTCATGTGATCGTTAGGAAACAGAGAAAGTAATTTACATCTATTGCTTAATATTAGAAATGGCATGCAGCCTTGGCAAAAGCAGAGGGCAGGTAACATTTAAAGCTTACTTAGTAGATAGACTTTCCTTCTTCTTTAACCACTTACCTACCACCTTATAGCAGATATACTGCTACAGGGCAGCAGCTCTGCGCAAAATCACGTAAATATATGTGATTTTGCATTTCTGAGTAGAGGGTGCATGCGCGTGCTGCTATTGGTTGCAACGGATGTCAATCACCCAGGTCCCAGCCGGCGATTCTCGGCTGGCACTCGGTGATTGCCGCTAAAGCTGAGAGTGGAGAGACCTGTATGTAAACACAGATTTCTCTGTTGTCAGCATGGACATGCTGCTTTCTCTCTCTCTACACAGCAGAAAGATACAAAGCAGCATGCCTCTGTAGTAAAACAGCACACAGTGTAAGCACAACACACACTTAACCCTTTGATGGCCCCCAGATATTAACCTCTTCCTGCCCAGTGTCATTAGTACAGTGTCAGTGCTTTTTATTAGTTCTGATCGCTGTATCGGTGTCACTGGGGATGTCAGTGGCCATTAGTCAGTTCCCACCCAGTGTCAGAATGCTTGCTGCAGTCCCGCTATAAGTTGCTAATCGCCGCCATTACTAGTATAAAAAATACATAAAAATTCCAGTATATATAATGCCATTTGTAGACACTGTAACTTTCATGTAAACCAATTTAATTTACACGTATTGGGATTTTTTTTAGCAAAGACATGTATGTAGCAGAATACATTTTGGCCTAAATTTATGAAGAAATTTGATTTTTTTTTTTTTGGATATGTTTTATAGCAAAAAGTCAAAATTATTGTTTGTTTTCAAAATTGATGATTTTTTTTTTGTTTATAGCGCAAAAAATAAAAAACACAGAGATGATCAAGCACCACCAAAAGACAACTCTGTGTGGGAACAAAATGACATGAAATTAATTTGGGTGCAGCGTTACATGACTGCGCAATTGTCAGCTAAATTAACGCAGAGCCATATCGCAAAAAATGGCCTGGTCAGGAAGGGGGTAAATCCTCTGGAGGCAGGGGCGGACTGACCATTTGGAAACTCAGGCACTGCCCGAGGGCCCCGGGTAAGTAGGGGGCCCCATGAGATGCCCCTGGTACCTTTTTCATAGGCTTTTTTGAGTTTGGGCAAGGACACAGGGGCCCCATGATCCCCTATTGCCCGGGGGCCCCATGAGTTGTCAGTCCGCCCTGTCTGGAGGGCAAGTGGTTATGTAATGACAAAATTACCAGGTCTTTAGCAGAAATATAAAAATTGTTCTGTTCCATAGGCACATACAAGTGCTAGTGGTTGGTCGTGGTTTTACTCTTTCAGTATTGAACATAGCCTTTATTTTATAAGTGTATTCATTCTGCCTCATTTACACAGGCAACAAGGAAGGTAAAAATAGGTAGCCATGTTAGTACACACTGCCATGTGCAGGTCAAGGTTGGCAGGCAGTTCCACCACCAACTGTGACTCAATCAAGAGCAGGGTGGTATTTCAATAGAAAATCTGAAAATTTAAATAAGAGAAATAAGAAAAGTGGCATTCCTGGACACCTGGCAGCCACTCTACCACTCTCTGAAAAGCAATCCAAGGCAGATGATTTTTTAGAGGGGTGGTAAGGAGTGTCAGTTAAATGAGCCCTAAAGGATAATTGCAAATTTGTTTAAAAAATAAAAATGTATCATAAACCCACTGGTCTGTAATATAATAAAGGCAGTATAAAAACGATAGCTCCATTCAGGAGATACATTTTTTTTTTAGCATTGCCCAGATTCCCTTAGACCAATACAGTGTTAATTTTTTTCTTGCATTATTTGACTTTATTGATGCAGAGATGAAGAGGGGAGGAGGATGTAAAACTAATTTTTCAATCTAAAGTGCGTTTATCCTTTAATCCACTGATCAGCTTAAGACTCTTCCCTACCTGACATCCCTTTATTTATTTGCATTACAGACTTAAAGGAAAGGAAATGTCATCTGGCAGAATGCATAGTTTACATGTTTGCTTTAAATCGGCATTCACTTTATTCGCTGGGCCATCTGTCATGACTTTGCTGTGTGTGCTTTATTTTTGTCAATTTTTTGTTACGGATGCCTTTCCCTCTGCGCTTTCCTGTCAGTGGATTGTCCACAAACCAAGAACTGAGCAGTGTGAATGTATCATTTTCTAGGTTTGTCCTGTGGCACAACTAAAGCTGGGTATACATGAATTGAAAGTTGGCCAGTTCAGAAGGAAACGGCCAAATTTCACTCCATGTGCACCCCTCTTTGTTCTCCTGCTGGAAAAACCGCATTCGATCAGCAGCTGCAGCCAATGACTGCAGCTCTGATCTGTGTATTCTGACTGTGAGTCCTCACTGTCAGAATACAATAGCACAGCGGGAGAGATTCCTTCATCCACATTGCTTGCATTAATGTGGGGAGCTGGTTTATGGTGTATATCCAGCTTTAGACATACTTCATTGTATAAACGCTTTACCTTGTCAATGCTGCTGCTTTTCACTAATTGTTCACTAATTGTTCTTCTGCTCTCAGCAGGGGGTAAAGTTGACTTTGAGGACTTTGTAGAGCTAATGGGGCCTAAACTTCTAGCAGAGACAGCCGACATGATTGGTGTAAAGGAGCTAAGAGATGCTTTTCGGGAGGTATGCTCATTACTTGCACATGTTGTGTGTTGTGCTTACTATCACAAGGCAGTGACTGCACTTCATTCCTTCCATCTCTGTTTGGTATGTCTATCAGAAATTGAAAGTGAGTGAGAAAAACTTTTCTACTCTTCGGAACAGTCAAGAATCCAACATTTTCTTTGTATTTTGGCTTTTCCTGTTACTGATTTATTTCTCAGTAGTTACATGGCAAGGATGCCAACTACCCTCTGATACATAAGGTAGCCTTTATAGTACCTCAGAACAGTATGACAAATTTAAAATACCATCAAGAACTTTGTATACAGTGTACACTGAATTAATGTGTACTGTATATTATTTCTTGATGTAATTTTACCTTTTTACATACATTTTTTCACAGTCATCTCTTATATACAAATTTAAAGGGTTCTGAGTTTAGGGCTACCTTATGAATACTTACTAAACAAACAGGATTTGTTGGCTACTTTTTCAGACATTTTTTTACTTTTGGTACTTTCTTAAAAATTATTATATTTATTAGTTCATTAACTCTCTTCAACTGAACATATTTGACATGTAGGACACTAGACATAAAAAGTTTTAGGAGGCACCAAGAGATGCATATGTGTACCTTTTTTTAATTTGCCCAACATAGGGCTAAGACACCCCGGTGTTCATGGGAGGAGTTGAGAGCCCAGCATTTACTATGGGCCTTATTCAACCAAGAGGTCTTTTTCCTATTTGCTCACTAGGGGTAGTAACTCATAGCAACCAATCAGAATTAACTCTGCAAATTATTGCAATCAAGAATTATCAATAAAGCAGAATTAAACCCTCCTATCCTTTACAGCCAAGGAAGCTGCCATCGTAGCCTCTGTTGGATATGCAGTTGCCATTGTGCTGCACATGTGATCAGTTAGGATACCAGCCGTTTGATGGCTTGACGGTTCTGTTGAGAGCACAAGCAACTGTGACAGTTATCATTCACAGTATTCATCTTACAAACAAATGTTTCCTGTAATGTATAGATACCTTACACAACATGCAGTCCTATCTCATCATAAACCTTTTCATCCACTGTTTTCAACACTTTCAGTTTGACTCAAATGGTGATGGTCGAATCAGTACACGAGAACTGCGAGAGGCCATGAGAAAACTCTTGGGTCAGCAACTTGGTCCTCGAGAAGTTGATGAAATCCTGAGAGATGTGGACGTGAATGGAGACGGACTTGTGGATTTTGAAGGTACATGCCACAAGAACTTTGGGCTTTTTTTTATAAAAGTGCTAAAAGAAGGAGTGTTTGTGCTGTCCACAGCATCCAATCAGGTTTCCACAGTTGTGATTCCAATGTAGACTAGAAAATGAAAAGGAGATGAATGGTTGCTAAAGGCTATTCTTTAAATGCCCTAAATTCAGCCGCCAGAGATGTCTGAACATTGCCTTGATTTGTGTGCTGTCTGAACTCGAGCCTCCAATCACCACTGCAGGCAGTAGGGCACTGCAAGGTCTGATGGTAGGAGGCAAAACAGATATTGCCCTCATCTTCTCTTTAATATCAGCACATAACTGGTAGCTAAGTAGTGGTGGTAGGCTAGAGAGCTAATCCGCATCCATCATGATTTCCATTGGACAGGCAGCCCGGCCATACTGTGTCCACTGATAGCTAGCATGTAGGTGGTCAAGGCTACAAATCGTCATGTGTTTCCATGGTTCAAGCGGGTTGGCCACCAACACTGTAAAAACCAATGATGCCATGAGACCAGGCTGCCTGCACCATGGAAATGCATTATGCTGTACAGCCCAGATGCCTAGTCTGTCACGATTACTGAATTTTTCTCTTGTACGCCTAACTGTCCTGGCACGTAATGTTGGGAACCACTTCTCTGATAAATCAGACAGATTCAAGGTTCCCAACTCATCCAGTTAATTATTGACACATGTATTCTACAGCTTGTGTGTGTCGTTAACAGGAAGATAATTCATAGGCTGCAAGTTTTTCTGTACTAAATGGGAAAAAAAAAAACAGATAAGGCAGAATCTGAAGTGTAGGTACCCATTACATACCCATACTGTTCTGCTCCATGTTGTCCGAACCTGAAGAATCACTGTTTGAGTAATTCAACTTTGCCATATCTGAAATTTAAACAGTTTTCAGAACTGGCAACTGCTCATTCAGACACCGAGATTTGCATTGTGGGGAGACTGAATGGGTATCACATGTGTCTCACACCCGGAACATATTTGTTTTAGTTTTAGGAAAATTGTGGAAGGATTAGAATCCCTATGGGGCTTTTATGGCTTTGCAGGGTTTTGTTTGAGGGATTTTCCCCCACTTACTGCCCAGTAGACAATTATTTCCCCAGACAAGAGGTAAAAGGAAATTATCCAATAGCAACACAAACCTTTTTTTTTTTTTACAATATATTAATCAAAGTTGAGAACTTCTGTGAGCTTGTGTTGCTGCTTGTTCCCCTGCTGCAAAACTTTCATCACTTTTTGTTTAGTGAAACTACTGTCATGACAGGGGAATTCTCTCTAATAGTAAAAACCTAACCAGGGTTCTAATCCTACCCCCTCTATCTTCCCTCCTCCAGGTTTTAGCTTGATGTAAACATTAAGGCACAACTCTACCTAAACTTGATTTACATGTTGTGGGGTAGCTTAAAGTTCTTTGTGACCCTTGCAGGTTGTAACAGTTCCTCAACTATGCATATCTGTGCTCCAGGGAGACAGTTCTTTTTATTTATTTATTTATTTATTATATATCTTTTATTACATTTTTTCAATACAAAAAAAAGTATCTAGTGCACACAAGAATAAAAAGAACTTCACCAATACATACATTCCAATTGCATCATCGTATCCCCTACCCTACCCTTCCTCCCACCCTTCAATTACTCCAGTCCATATCCAAATTCCAAGTTTCTATCCCTTCTTGTGATTATCTATCTATATCTGTATCCCTTCCCGTCTATCTCCTTCTCTCTGTTGGGTACTCCATTAGAACTTCCTTTAATGCTCTTCCACCTACAGTATATTCCAGCCAGTTCCAGATATCTTTTAGATGTTTTGAAAATTAACCATTTACTCCATGTTTTCCTAAATTTTTCTATTCTATCTTCCTCAGTATGACACAACTCATCCATCCTGTAAATATTTTCCACTGTTAACCCAGTCATTTATTCTTGGTGGATCTGGGGCTAGCCAGAATTTGGGAAAAAAGCTCTTAGCCGCACTGATTAGATGATATAGTACCCTGTTCTTATGTAGTTTTACTAAAGGTTCAAATTTATAAAATAAACATGTGCATGGGTCTCTCTGTACAGTAATCCCACATATTTCGTGAATATATTGTAATATTACCTTCCAGCAATCCCACCATATGTGTACCATTGTTCTCTTTTCCCCACACCCTCTCCAATATAAAGGTGAAACATCTACTTGTTGTTTATGTGCCTCACTCAGTGTGTAATATACCATTTAGCCAAACATTTATAATTCATTTTAACTGTGCTCATATTCATCACCTCATGTGTTCATTTTAGTATTTTATTCTTTTGTTGCTTGTTCAATTTTGTTTCAAACTTCTGTCCCCATTTTTCCAAGAACTGGGAGGATCGGTACCCTTCATATCCATAAGAACTTTATAAATCCTGGAGGTGCCCTGTTTAGGAACTGTAGTTACATTCAGCAGTTTTTCAAATGGATACAGATCCTCCAACGTCCTCAGTGGTTGTAGGAGCATTGAGACAAAATGACCTAATTGACAATACCGCCACTCAGCTAATGTGCAAAATAATTTTTTTCTTTAAGTCAGAAAAAGTGTGCAATTTCCCTTTGTTCAGTATATCCTTCAAACGTGCGTTCTTATCTTTAATCCATTTCCCAGAAATATTATCCTTCCCTGGGGGGAAATACTCCATTCCCGCCAAGGGGGATCATAACTGAATTGTATTTCCATCCCTTTTGCTTATACATTCTATCCCAAACACTTAAAACTTTCTTTGTCAGTGGACTAATATTCACATCTAATGTGCAAAAATTTTGTGGCATCCAAACCATGTTCCCTAACTGTGCCTTACTCAAAATCCCTTCCATATTCACCCAACTTATCCCTTGTGAATTAAATATCCAATCTATTATTCGTGGTAATATCACCACTTGATGATATTTCTTAACATTAGCCATACCCAAGCCCCCATTCCCTTTTGCCTTACACAGTACCACATACCTAATTCTTGATTTTTTGTTTGCCCAGATAAACTTAAGTATCATCTTCTTTATTATCCCGAAGAAAGATCTTGGTAGGTGTACTGGGAGTCTGGGAAACATATACAGGATTTTTGGAAATATCATCATCTTTACCAGATTTATACAACCCATCTAGGAAGCTCCACTTTTTGACAATCTCCCCAGCTCCTCTTCTATTTCATTTAATAATGGGATATCATTTTCCTGGTAAAGGCCTTTTATTGAAGGAGTTAGTTTTATTCCCAAATAGCCTATTTCCTTTTCCCTCCAAGTAAGTGGAAAGTCTTTGATGTTTAAGATCTCTGACTTTGCAGGGTTTATTTTCACATTTGATAGCTCGCCGTACTGTTTTAATTATCTCATTAAATTAGGCAACGATATTCTAGGATTTACAATATAGAATAACATGTTGTCTTCGTATGCTGCCACCTTATGCTCCACTTCCCCTATCTTTATTCCTGCTATGTATACACACTTTCTTACCCTTGCCAGGACAGATTCCAGGGCTAAAACAAATAATAAAGGAGAAAGTGGACATCCTTGTCTGGTTCCGTGAAACATTTCAAAGAACTGAGAGAGGGATCCGTTGACCTTGACCGCCGCTGACAGAGTGCTATAAAGCCCTTTTATCCACCTTAACATTTTAGGCCCTATTCCTAATACCTCTAGCGTATCAATCATGAAACTCCAGTTAACCCTGTCAAAAGCCTTTTCGGCGTCAATTGACAAGAATAATGACAGCAGCAGGGGCAGACTGACCATTCGAGCACTCGGGCACTGCCCAACACAAAAAGACAGATACAGACATTTTAAGATATGGACTTTCTCCTTCCCCTCCCTACCAAAAACCCCATTTTCTTCCCCCCCTCTGTTTTCCCACCCACCACCCCATTTCCACCCTTCCTTCCCCCTTCTTCTCTTTACCCTAAAACCCTCCTGGCCTATTGCCCTGGAATCTTTCGTGAAATATTCCCACTAGGGATTTCTAGTATGAGGTGAGACTCAAAACACACAAGCCAACTACAAATTTTTTTTTTCATTCCAAAAATACTTTATTAATATAAGAAGAAATAAAATAAGGTAAGGTTAAGTGACAGTAGAATGTATAGGTAATAAAAAGTTAAATTGGATCACTTCCCTAAGTATTAGCCAAGCCAGAAAGGTAGTAATAAGGCTTAGAAAATGGTACATGCAAGATCGGTCAGTGGGGTAACCCGTGGATCAAAAACCCCGTAAGGCATGTCATGACATAGACCTACAGCCCATCCTTACACGTGGTAAAAGTGTCCCCGGTGATCCGGGTATTTCCCAATACCGCATTAGGACATTCAGTCAGGTGATATAGATTGATCCTTTACTATTAGATGATAGGTATAAGTGGATTTGAAATGACTCCAGCATGCCCATGTTTTCCTAAATCTCTCGGGATGTTCCTTAGCTATAGAAATCAGTTCCTCCATTTCCTCAGTTTTGTCGATCCTAGCAAACCATTCTTGTATAGTGGGAACATGTGTTGAGCGCCAGTGGACTGGGATACATTGCTTTTCAGCATTTACCATGTGCATGGCGAGTGATTTGCGGTATGTCTGAAATGGAAGAGCGGTATGGTGAAGCAAAAATTGTGCGGGGGAAAGGTCTAGGGCATACGTAGTAACTTGTGCGATTGTAGATTGAACTTTCCCCCAGGAGGGTTCCAACAATGGGCATTCCCACCAAATGTGCAGGAGTGTACCCGTCGTTTGATGGCATCTCCAACACAAATCAGAAATGTTGGAGTCGAAGCGGTGAAGCAGGGATGGTACCCTATACCATCTAGAGTATACTTTAAAGTTATTTTCTTGTGTGGAGACACATATAGATCCTTTGTGTATGTGTTCATATATGTGGTCCCAGTCAGCAGGCGAAAGTTGGATTTGTAAGTCAGCGCTCCAGGCCTTGCAAGCTTTCCTAGTTGAGAGGTCACTGGTGTTTTTCGAGACATGTATAGAGCAGGGATATAACTTGTCTCTGGGGAGAGTCCGTTGAGCAAAGTTTCTCAAAGGGGGTAAGATGTCTAGTATATTATTTTAGATGGGGTGAGCTGTGGATAAAGTGTTGGAGTT